CAGACAGTGCCGGCTGGCGACCCCAAGGGGGAGGGCCTTCTCTGTGGGAGCTCCCACCCTCTGGAATGAACTACCCCCAGAGATCAGGGTGATCCCTGATCTCCCTTCCTTCCGCCGCGCCCTTAAGACATGGTTATTCCAGCTTGCGGGACTGGCCTAGGGGAAACTTTTAGAGGGGGTTTTAATTATAATTTTAATTCGACCAATTACTAATATTTCCCTTTTAATTAACTTTTTAATCTGTAGTGTGATATTTTTGTATTTTTATCCGGTTGTTAGCCGCCCTGAGTCCGCAAGGAGAAGGGCGGGATATAAATCTAAAAAATAAATAAATAAATAAATAAAAGTGATAGATATCATTGCCAAAAATGAGTACTTTTTTTCTCCCGGGTATAAATATTTATTTCTATTCTGCTGAAAAAAAAAATAGAAATAATTATTTATACCAGGAAACTGGTATAACTGAAAATTTAGAATTGGTTTAGACTTCCCATATGTATTAGCACAATACTTCCCTGCCATATCTTTGTTCCAGCTTCTGCAAGAGCCTGAGTTTTTTTTAAAAAAATTATCAAATTTTAAAACCACCCATCTCCCTCACAGGACATAAAAAAACAGTGTATAAAATTTAAAGAGGCAGGCAATGTTAAAGATTAATTAAAAGGCAGAGGGAGGGCTTTCAGGGAGCTAACTAGTACAGTGACCACGTGTGCCTATGTGAGCCCCAGCAAAGACTGCAGAGCATGTTTTCATGCCTTTCTGGAAGGCCGAGAGAGTGGGGGCCCAACTTATCTCTGGGAGGGATAATGTTCCGGGGGGGGGGGGAATCAACACCAGGGAAAATTCCCTTCCTGGACCCCACCAATCGGAATTCTTTGGCTAACAGGATCCGCAACATACCTTCCTTACCTGACCAGGTAGGACAGACTGAGTTATGGGATGAGGATGGTTCCCTACGTAATCTGACCCAGGCTATGAAGGGCTTTAAAGATACCACTCCATGAAGAGATTTATTTAATCCGTACAAATAAATAAATTTGTAATGATTAAAATGAAGGCTTTTTGAGAGAATAAAATGTTTTTTCTATTTTTTTTTTAACCTAGATTCAGAAATACTTTTTGGAAATGAAGAATAAGATGCCTTCTTTATCACCAGTAGACAAAAACTGGCCAGCAAGGCCTTACCTGTTTTTGGATTTAACTCATAAGGAACTGAAGAGGATATTTCATTTGTGGAGGGTAATAATATAATTCTGGAATTAATCATTTATTTTGGTTGTGCTTTTATT